TGTTCTTATTGGTTTGAATTGTCAATGTTGTGTTCGAGTTAATTTGATTTTATCTTGAGCTCTTGTCTGCGTTCTCCTTCTGCTGACTATGGTGTGTTTTTTTCTGGATAGGACCCATTGAGTTTAGATGATACGCATGCCATCTGGCTGGTCATCGCTGCTTCACATGAAGATAAAAAGCAGATGTTCATTTGTTTGCTGTAGCAGAATATTTTGTATGTTGAGTCACCTCTCAACACTGATATCCCATCTTTGAATTTTAGGTGCATATCTCCAAATGCGTGGGATAGACCCACGATGGAGCAGGTGTGTGAGATGCTTGAGCAGATCCCGGCTGATTGGGCTGGACATGGAGGAAACAGAGAGGTGATTGTTATTTCTATATCTCCATCGTCTGCTTGCAGTTTTCTGTTGTTTTCAACCCGCTATTTTGTTGTCGTTGGTTGTATTTGGTTCCCTCTTTTGCTGTTTTTTCTATCCCTTTTTCCACTTCCTCGTTTCGATTCTCTGCAACTTGAGCATGAAGCCAATCCGGCCAGGATGCTGACGTACATAACCCCAAAAGGTCACTTGCGCCCTTACCAGCGATCCGACTTGTATTCTCTTCAACTTTGAAAATCCGACCTGTTGACCTGCCAATTTCAGTTTCTGCATATATTCAGAACTCAGCACTTCAATGTTATTGGCGGGTCATTGTTAAGGCGCTGTGGAACTTCGCCACTCTTTCCATTGTTTCTGCACTAGTTGAATGCCGCATCTGTTTTATCCTACTTCAAAGGTCTGCAGGGGGAACTTCCTGTCATCTATTTGAATAAAGATTCAAAGTAAGCGATGCCGGAAAGGCACATTAAGACAAGTTTATTTTCTTTGCATGAAGGAAGATTCGATGACAGAGCTGCAGGCAATCATCGGCCGGGTCTCCCAGCTGCGTCCCGCCATCCGGTACAATCGCTGAATCCTCACCTTCTTCCTGGAACAGATCGAGCGAGTGCGCGGCATCACGACCTGCACCGATTGGCCCATGGAGTACCGCCTGCCTGTGGTGCACAAGTTGGAGTCGCTGCTGCTCTCCAGTGAGCGCATGATCAAGCGGCATGCCAGTCGCTTCGATGTTCTGAATTTTTACACGGTGTCCGAGGCACGATGGGTGGTGCAGGTGGGTGTCCATCCCTAAACCAAGAGTTACAAGGGCAAAACTACTTGCGAGTAATACTGGCTGTCTTGCTGTTTTGTGTTTCTTAAGTACTGGGCGAGGAGCGCGTTGCCTGAAAGGGTGCTAGGTGTCAAATAATGGGGAATGCTTTGCCTTGCTTGCATGCACCACTATGGCAGGCATGCTTCCATCCACATCTGAGGTTTCCAGTAGGCTCTGAAATTCTCAGAGCAACTACAGCACTGTGGCCTTCACTGTTTGAGCGGATGGGCAGTCAATGGCAGCCGTGGCAGTAGAAACGCAGATGAGGTTCCACGGCTTGGTCCTGTCACAGCATGCTATGCCACTTGAATTGTAAATAACAGCAGTAATTTTCAGTTTTGCGCATTGATACTGAATGCCAGACATGAGAAATGGGTAAAGTCTGTGAAACCTGTTTTCAGGCGAAAAAGGATGCCACAAAGTCCTGAGATTTGAGTCTTGTTTCTCACTATGAGGCACCAAAGCTTCCACCCAATTTGCACAAATGGCCGATCCCGACTGACCTTTGTCAAATGCGGGTGAGACAGACCATCTGCCAGAATCTGCGGGGCGTTCTGCAAGTGTTCGATCTTACAGTGGAAGACGCGGTGCCGGATGCTGATGCAGAGCAAGACAGCGCCTTCCTGGAGCACCATTTGAAGTTTGTGGTGGATGATGGTGATGACTGCAACGACTTGCAGCAGAGTGATTCCAGTGCCACGCAATGCAACAGGAGTCAAAACGGCCTGCACGAAGACAGGAAGGATGCTGATGATAGCGATCCCTTTGGTGACGAGTGGCATGAAGTGAAGCGGGGCCTGCAGGCCCAACTGGCCCGGCTTTCGATTGTTACAGAGGATGCCATCGATTGCACAGAGAGCACTGAGATCGGTGCGTCCGACCACAGTACCATGTACAAGTCGGTGTGGCAGGGACAGGAGGTGGCGGTGAAGCGGCTGGTGCTGGTGGAACAGGGCGCCGGAAAGTATGAGCAGATGGCGCAGTTCCTGATGGAGGCAGCATTGAATGCGCCCATGAGCCATCCCAACGTGGCCCGCGTGCTAGCTGTCGTGAGGTATTCGTTTCATCTGTGGATGACAGGATTGATTTGTATGGATGCATTGTGTGAATGCTCTTGTCCATCGTCTCAGTTGTCACATATCATTTAGATCCATGAGATCGATGCTTATCCTGCTGCCATTTTGTGCTTGGTGGTTTCCAAAGTTGTATTGCCTTGCCATTGTGTTATTTCCGTTGTTTTTGAATTGCCAACACGATAGACTCATGCCACAAGAAGTGATGGGTAGGGATGCACAATACCCGCGAAGCCAATGTTGGCTGCATCACTGAGATGTATCTATGCCAGTTATATTTATGTTGCCGAATTTTGTTTGTATGTTATTGGCCACGACAATGCAGTGCTAATTAACTGGGACGATGCTGCCACTCCTGCCCGCACATCAGACTTGAAGGCTGGGCTTTGCTTTGTGACAATCTGCCTTTGCTGCGCACAGATCGGGCCTCATTATCTTGGAGCTGGCAAGTGAGAGCCTGTTCTCGTGGTACCAACACGGCTGGGTGGCAGACTGGGGCCTCAAGATCCAGGTTGCTCACCAGGCCGCGTTGCGACTCGCCCACCTCCACGCCCACCGAATCATACACCGCGATGTCAAGTCATGCAACTTCTTGGTCTTTCCGCCCTCCTCAGGAGACTGCGCAGTGCCCGTTGTGAAGCTGTGCGACTTGGGCATTGCTGTGGGGCAAAGTGAGGAGTGGCGAGTGGAGACGACGAAAAGACAGCAGCCCGGGACCAAGAAGTATTTGGCGCCAGAGATCGATGCGGGCAAGGCGCACAACCCCCAGAGCCATGTGTTCAGTTTTGGGGCGGTGTTGTGTGAGGTGGTGGTGTAGACGGTGCCGTATGGGGGCGGCATGAGCTCCGACTTGGTTGTCATGGCGAAGAAGATGAAGGGTGAGCTGCCGTGCCTCATCCCATATGGGTGCCCGAAAAGACTGGCGGCCCTCGTTAAGGAGTGTTTGGCGTTCGAGCCTCATGATAGGCCATCAATGGAGGTTGTGGAAAGGCGCTTGATGGAGATGTCACGTGAATTGAGGAGCTCGGCGAGTTGAGGCTTGGGAGGGGGAAGGTTGTAAGTTGACACAGTATTTGGCAAATGTACAATTTCAAGACTTGCAAATGTAGTTTGCTAATGGGTCTGACTAGTACTAGTACTAGTTGCTGGAAAGGCTGTCAGCAGTGAGGCTTATTGAGTTTCCTTGATGCAATATCTTCCTTTGGCAACTGGAGCCGCACTTAGAATGTGTCGAAGGTGAGCAGTGGCAAGTGTCAAATTCACTGATAGCCGCATTGCCACTCACCTGAATGGCTTGCGTATGACCGATGCACTGTGATTTGATGGGATGATGTGGTACCTTGAACGCGCACTAAGTGGCAAGTGACACCCTGGTTCCTCTAGAGGAAGAAACAGGACTGCTGCGTAGAGCACTGCTTCCTCTATAGCCCCTGGGTCTCTTGCTTCCTCCAGAGGAAGCAACAGCCCTGTTGCATAATATGGAATTAGTTGTTAATTATGGCTGCGAAGGAAAGGCACTTTGTCAACAAAGCCAGGACAAGAGCGAAAACATTCAAAGAATGAAAATGTCATATCAAGTACTCTGGCGACCACATAAATTTCCAAAACCTGCCCTGCATGGGGCGCTGGGACGTATGTCTTTCCTGCAGAGTCCACACCCACCAACTTCAATGTCGTCATGCCTTTCCTCCGCTGCGTCGCACCAATTTGTGTTAGGCTTTTCCGCGGCCATACTGAGCACAGTCGGCTCCACCTCCAGCCGCGAGGAGCTCTCGAAGGCTCTGTACGATCGCCGAAAGTGTGCTGCGCTCTTGACGGTGGCTGTGGTTCGCAAGCATTCCTGACACCAGCGGAGATCACCAGCAGCATGGGGTCATCACAGGGTTCACCTTGGTGCAAGCTCGTGCCATGACAGTCGTTTCTGCACACACATTCGTTGACGAAGGGTTGGGGTTTGGGAAGAAGAAGTCATCGGCTCCGTTGCGGCATTGGGAGGAGCCCCGTTTTGGTGTGACTGGTGATAGTTGACGGCAAGGGGTTGGGCTGGGTGCGACGCAGGCTTGGGATGCCGTTCGTGGCGAAGGCGACACTGAACGGGAGTCACAGACGTAGATGGGCCCAGAGAAAAGGCAAACAGTAAGTGGCACAGTTCTGTGCAATTCATCGCAACACAGGAGCGTGCATCAGTCAAGAAAATAGGCAGTTCTACATGACCGCCTTCACATGCCAATGATGTGCAACGCCGTACAATGATGTCCATACAGTGCCCCACAGTGGGGAACCACAAACAACCCCATGCAGCATCCACAATACATCGGGGAGTGACACGAGTGACAAACACTGAAGCTGAAGGTCCACGTATTGTCCACTTTCGAAGCAGGGATGCTACCCACTGCTGGAATCTTATGTCAGGGAGTCCAAACGTCGGCTCATACGCACACAGCGTCTTCAGCCTCAATTCAGACAGATTCTGAGGACGCTTCCGCCTCGAGCAAGCTGGTGGTGCAGTCAGGCTCACTGCTCTTCAAGCCCACATCGTGAGTGGGGCGCCTTGTCTGCATGCGCTTGCTGATTGCAGGAAACACAAACTTTGCCATCGCATCTGCAACGGACAGCGTCAGTGACGCCATGGCTCCCGTGATGGCCCATCCGTCTTCCGCTTCGACAATAATTATGAACGCAACCTGGAGTGCCATCTGCGGCAGATCTTCCAGCAAGCCTGCAACATACGACACCCTGGCGAAATGCCGATGGACGAACCCTTGCTTCTCGTCAGCTGTCTCTTCTTCATCATTGCGGGTCAGCTCTGTTCCCCACGGCAGGAGCTTGATCACCCGAACATCGAAAACTAGAAGCCCAGGGAAAAGAAGTGCCCAGTCTCTTGCACGCATGGCCTTCTCTCTCCGCAAGTGCTGGAAGAGTGTGGTGATGGGTGCCTCTGATTTGATTTCACTCCCCACCTTCTTGCTCAGCAGACCCCAAAATGTACCAATGAGCATGTACAGCTGCGTTACCACCAATACTGCAGCGCTCAGCATGCCAATAGCCAAAAGGCCCAGGTTGTACTCCCGATTGACCTCCCCTCCTTCGATGCTCTCAGCCGACTTTTCCTCCCAGAGAATGAAGGTTGTGATCACAAAGCCCATATCTGACAACACGTCAGCCAATCCCAAGAGATGGCCAGCAAACGCGGCCATCAGCTCACCCATGGACCTCTCTGGGTGGTAATGAGAATGGATGTTGGACAGCATGTAGTGGAAGAGCATCAAGGACAAGACCATCATTGCTGCAATAATGGCGAAGCCAACGGCCATGGGAATCAATGTCTCAACATCACACTCATCTTTGTGCAGCCTTGTGACAAACGTTGTGTTGCCATTCTTTCCTCTGGGATGTGGCACCGTGTTGTTTCTCCTGCGACATCCAGCTTGCTTATATGGCAAAGGCTCTTCTGATGCAAAATCCGTCAAATTGCCATTTTCAGTGATCCTTGTCAGCTTTGCTACGACTGACAGATTCCCCAAATCAATGTGGTTCAAGTCCCCATTGCCAGAAATCAGCAGATCTCCATTTACAGCTGTCAGAGAACCAAATCCATCCACAGATTTCAGATGCGGGTTTGAGGCAATGACAAAACCGCCAAAGAGATCCCTAACGCCTCCATTTTCCTGCCGCGTTCTGGTAACATTTGTCAGCTTTGAAAAATTGGTGACATTTTGCAGCTCTGTATTGCCAACTATTGACAAACTTCCGTTAAGTGCTGAGAGATTGGGGAAAGAATCCACGGCTGTGTACCCCGCATTGTCCCTAATCGCCAAACCACACCCTTGCGCCAAGCCTGCATTGCCACAAATAGTACTCAGGTTACCAAATGCCTGCAGTGTATCTGCTGGCTCCACTTCATTTTCAACCATCTGCAGGCTTCCCCCAACGTAGCCCAAGGCTTCCAACATTGCTCGACCTGTGAAAGTGTTTTCTTGCAACAGCAGGCTTCCGCGGACAGACAGAAGACTTGGCATGCAGCTGTCCTCGGCGCTTCCAAAATCAATGTCGGAGAGCACAAGGTCCTGACCCACAGTCTCTAGCCTCTGCAGTGCAGTGCCAAGCAGCACAGGGCGCTTAGTGTTGTTTGTGATTCTGCCTCCCTCAGTCCAAGTAACAGTAAAGCTGGTGTCTGCCAAATTGCCAGAAATGACAATATCCTTTCCAACTTCTTTGAGATTGTCCAGCCCGGCAAACTCTGTCAAGTTTCGATTTTTCTCAATCCTGAAATCACCCCCAACCTTCGTAAGACCCCTCAACCCCCTGACACTCACCAAGGCAACATTTGCTTTCACTATCGCGTCGCCATCCACTGAAGTGATGTTTCCAAGGCCATCAAGGTTCTCGAGATCGTCATTCCTGACTATGCTGATGCTCCCGGGAATCTTCGTCAAATTCTCGAGACCGTTAATATTAACGAGTTGTTTGTTTGTGCTGATGGTAACGCTCCCATTAACTGTCTTGAGATTTTCAAAACCATCCACATTTACGAGGGCATGGTTTTTGTCGCAAACCAGCTCCAACCCTATCTCTGCAAGGCTTCTCAGCCCGTCAACATTTGACAGCCCATTGCTTTGAAGGACAGCCATGCCCACGCTTGTAAGGGCTTGAAATCCAGATATGTCTCGGAGAGCCCGATTGTCTGAAATCCAGAAATTTTTTCCCACTTTGCTTAGCATTTGAAACCCAGAAACATTCACAAGGGCATCGTTGCGAGCCAATCCCAAGCTTCGGCTAAGTGTGTGAACGTTCCCAAATCCAGAAATTCTTGTCAGATTTGTGCCATAAATGCTTATCCCTCCCACCTTAGTAAGATTCCCAAACTCGGGAATGCCTGCAAGATGCGGGGAATCTCTAATGACGAGCGACCCTCCCACCTTCCCAAGACTTCCAAACCCAGAAACGCTGGTCAGATCGCCGTTGTAACTGATGGCCATTTCAGAACTGACCTCAGCAAGACTCCCAAATCCTGTAATACTGGTCAAACCATCATTGGAAGCAATCCACAATGATCCCACCCGTGTAAGATTTCCGAAATTCGGCATATCCACCACAGCGTCATTGTATTGGATGGCAAGCACCTTGACGTCTTTTATAACAGCCAAAGGCTGCAGAGAACTGACAGAGGTTGCCTCCACAACAAAGTTTCCATCCATGCTGTCCTGCAAATGTCCGACAAATGGCTCCAATGACGTCAGCTGCAACCCTGACACGTACACTGAATCCAGGGACTCTCCACTGCGCTTCATATCATTGAGGACAGCAGCGAGGTTCTCTTCTTGCACGTCCTTCCCATTGTCGCAGGAACAGGGGTAACTTTGTGTGCAATTCCCATTCAGGCAAATGCATACAGTTATGACGTTTCCTGCCGCCATCCGCTCCTGACAGGTTGCCATACAGCCCCTTGCTGCAAAGAGAACTGCGATTGTCCACATCACCAAATCCCGGGTCATGGCTGCCTTCCAGCCCATACGACCAGTGCCCACAAACATTGCTCTTTCCTGGACAAGCGGGAAAATGTCCTAAAAGCACACAAGAAAACCAATCGTCAGACGCCGATAGTATGTTGTTTATTGCCAAGAGTCTGGCACAGACTGGCGCAGAGCGAGATTCCGCATTGGTGCTCAGTGTGTGGTAATCGCACTTCCATTTTACTCACAACCATTCCAATTCCATTCTGTTGTTGTTGCAGTTCGGCATTCATATTTTCTGTCCCTGCCATCGCTAACGTTGCCACTGTTTTCTACGCTGCTGTGGCTCCCACTAATAGTACAG